GAGCACGGGGGGGGGGGGGGGGGGGGGGGGGTGAGGGAAGAATTATGTATAATAAAGTTTTATTCATTACTGGGATTTATATTTTTAAGTAATTTTTAAACTGCTGCTGGCTGTGAAAAAACACATACGCCATATTTCATTTCCATTAGAAAGATAAATAATTTAAATAATAGAAATTTCCAACCAAAATGTAGGCTTTTTTCAACCAATATGTAGGCTTTTTCATCCAATATGTCGACTTTTTCATCCAAAATGTAGGCTTTTTCAACCAATATGTAGGCTTTTTCAACCAATATGTAGGCTTTTTCAACCAATATGTAGGCTTTTACAGCCAAAATGTAGGCTTTTACAGGCAAAATGTAGGCTTTTACAGGCAAAATGTAGGCTTTTACAGGCAAAATGTAGGCTTTTACAGGCAAAATGTAGGCTTTTACAGGCAAAATGTAGGCTTTTACAGGCAAAATGTAGGCTTTTACAGGCAAAAAGTAGGCTTTTACAGGCAAAATGCAGGCTTTTACAGGCAAAATGTAGGCTTTTTCAACTAAAATGTAGGCGTATACTAAATTTATTTTTGCATCATTTGTTTTGACATATTTTAAAAAATATTTATTCTTATACATGCAAATATGCATCTAAATTAACACAAACAAATATATAAAGTTGTTAAAAAAGGAATATTCAGTAGTGTAGTCACTATGATGCAAACTTCAACGGCCGGGCTTGGTGTAATAGGTATGATTTGGAACTTCCCTATTTCCATATCCATACCACAGCTACTAATGTACCTAAACTTACACTCCAAAGTAGTTAGTTGTAAGTTATGTAAGTTAGGTTTATATTTAAATAAACCGGGAGTGATCTCCCCTAAACTTTTTTTTTATATAACTTGAAATATAGACATGATTTTTTATTACTTAAACTTTTAAAAATAGAATAGAATCTCATAGAAACAAGAATTGCGCACCAAGCGAACGCCAAAACAAAAATGTGCATAATAGTGCGCAATATTATTAGTACTTTATAAATTTACATGAGTTTTTTGAGAAATCGAAAATAGCGTAAATTAGTACTTCCGGTTAACGGAAATTACTCAAAATTTGACAGAAGGCAGAAGCTTATATCTTTTACTTACATGTGAAATTTCATTTATCTATCTGAAATAGTACTCAAGTTATAGGCTTTTGAAAAATTCAAAGTAGAAAAAGTACCACTTCCGGTTATCGAAAATCGCTCAAAAGTTGATACGGATCTACGATTTTGATAAAATACTTATATATGAAATTTCATCAACCTAGCTGTAACGGTACTCAAGTTATCGTGTTTACACACAGACAGACAGACACACTGACACACAGACTTACTGACAAGATTGCAAAATTATGTTTTTCCGTATCAGTGAGGTGTAAAACGTCGATATTTGTAAAAATCTCGATATTTTTTTGCACGATTACAAGACTTTCTCTATACGAGAAAGTAAAAAGGGTAGGCCCTACTCTACAGCTAAAATACAAACCGAATACCCCTACCACCCAAACCCCATGAGAATCGGAAATTTGATTTCTATTAATAGATTTCTGAAGTGACGTATCAAATGCAGCAGCAAATATTGGGATTGGAAATCAAGATGAAGTACGTGACCTTGGCCTAGAGGTCAAGAGGTCATGTAAGAGTAGTTAGTTGGGTTTTGATTTCAATGTCAACGGCATGCAATAGTAAAAAAAAAAACGCATTTCGGTTTTCAGCTTGTGTTAGTTGCCATAACGCCTTATTGCGGCATAGTTTAACGGAGCCGAGTGGTGGAGGGGGGGGGGGGAGGGTTTTTTTTTAAAAAAAATGTAAGTTAATATGGTAAAGTAAAAAGATTGTTTTAAATATTGTTTTTACATATTTGACAGTCAATTGGGCAAATGAAACAGAATTGG